GACATCATCAAGATGAAGAGCGAGAGGAGGAATTCTGGGTCCCAGAATTCCTCCTCTCGCTCTTCATCTTGATGATGTCCGGACGGGCAGGGGGAGGGAGCTGGAACCGGTTCTAAACGGCACTGTAGATTTGTGGAACCTCTTCTATAGAAGAGGTTAGAACTAGCAGGAACCCACCCCTGCACTTGCTAGAGCTAGGCCTCTCCAAAGGTCCTAGGAAAGCAACTGGATAAAAGGATATCATCTGCAGCAGACTGGCTGAATTAATTGCTGCTCTCTCCCCTGGCATTCACCTTCCCAGACAGCACAGCCTCTACTGCACTGAATGCAGACCCAGCCGCCAGCCGGGCACACTCATAGGAGCTGGCACAGATGTAGACAGAATTGTACTGGTCACCCTGGCGATGCAGGTCACGGGGTTTCATGGTGGCTGTGGACTTCAATGTCTCCACATAAGCCGGGCTGCAAAGAGGAGGAGAAGAGGCAATGAAGCAGCAGGTTAAACAGGTTGGGTTTCAACCTCTAAAATTCTTTTAGCAGGTCAAGTTCTGGAGCTGAAACCCAATGCCTCTAGAGGGCACCTGGTTGGAGAACACTGCAATGTCCTTCTTTATATTTAAAAGAAGAAAAAGAAGGTGAAGCTTCGGGCATCACGGATGGGCACCACTCCCAACCCTGCTTTGTGAGACCTCCCAGCCCTCTCCTTGTTGAAAAGGCAATTGGAATGGAACTCATCAGAACCTGTGGCACATTCGTAGCTCTTCTTCAGAGGCAAGACGGGCTGGGAGCCGGCAGCACCTTTCTGTCAGATGCAGCTCCCTGTGGCGCTGGAAGATCCTGGATACTCTCTGAGGCAACTCTGGATGTTGCCTACAAAAGAAAGAAAGGTAAGAAACTAAGAATGACAGAAAGTCCCGATTCCTAAGGAATATTTTTATATGGGGGAAATCCTCTGCCTTTCCAACGACTTTAAGGACAGGGTCACACTAGGTTTCAAAGATGCTTGGGGGAAATGTGGCTGAATCATTTGATAATATCATTTGATATTTTGGGGTTTTGGTGAATATCTTAGAAAAGTGCAGCCCTTCAAGTCTGTGTTTCTAAAAATAATTAGATGTTCCCTTGAAAGAAACTCAAGTGAGAAGCAGAGTTATAACCTGGGAACTGGTGCTTGTGTGCTTAAAAACATTTTCTTTACCAGCTGGTTGGTTCATGGGTTATATTTTATTCTACTACACCAGCTGAAGCCAAACCTCATGTATGAATTATACATAGAGAGAGAGAGAGGATGGAGAGATTCAATTCAACAAACCTAGACAATGTCTGAAATTCTTACCTGTCCCACATATTGTAATGCTCCATCATTTTCTCATCATAGACTAGCCCAGTGCAAGAAGGGGGCTGAGACTGTATCAGTTCAGCCACTGAGCCGGAGAGGGGATCGGCTACAGAGAGAGGGCTGGCTGGTGGCCAAGCTACGCTGAGCTTGCCATCCTCCTGGGGCACATCAGCACCTGAATTGTGCGGAAGAGGCAGAGAAAGATTCCGTGAGTGTCCTCAGCAGTCCCGATTGTCTGACAGTCAATCAGAGTGGAAAGGAATTGAGAGGAAAGATTCCCCCCCCCATCCCATTCCTTTTGAGGAATGGGAAAAAAAGAGAGCTACATTCACTCACTGATCCTCCGTAGGTGCTTCCAGTACTTGCTATGAATTGCAATGGTCTGAGACACTGAACTGAGAGCACTGATGGAAGGAAAGGAAGATGCTGTAATCAGACTTCTGCTCGGAGGAGAAGGTTGGATTTGCTCCAACATGCTGATTCTAAAAGCACCCGGCAGCAGGGAGCTGTGGTTCAATATCATTCTTACCTGCTACATGGGAGGAAAGGTGATTCCATCCGCGGACAGGGATCTCCTAGAAGAGTCTTAAGGACCATGCAGGTTCCCTCGGCCAAAGACTGGAGATTATACCCACCCTGTGATAGTGAAAGGAGAGGAGCTAGGTGGCTTCCTTAAGAGACAGCCCAACCCTGTTCCCCAGCCCAAAAGTGGAAAGTCACCCACCTCCAGAGATAAAACCAGCTTGCCTCCAGCCAGTGACTTTAACAGGTGTGTCAAGTGAGCAAAGCACGCTGGAGTGGCAGCCATCTCCCCCTAGAACGGGCAAAGATTGATTTCACTCTTGGCACAAGGGAGCAAGGCATGAATCAGGGAGGGGATACATTAAATTAAATGGGGGGGGGAACCCCACAAGACATTATCAGACAGATTAGACTCCCGGAAGCATCTCTAAGGCTGCGACAAGAGAAATGGGAATGTAAAAGTCCTTGTTCCTCAAGGTTGGTGGAGCGGTTTCTGCATTGCCTAATTGAAGTTCTAGGGCTTCTTTCTAGAAAAAGATCTTAGGTCTGTCCTTGCCACTGGCAGCCCCACACTTCAAAGTCCTCTTTCTAACTCAGGTAAGTCCAGCCCTCGTTCTCAGTAAACCGCCCTGTGGTTGCAGGGGTTCACAAACAAATGCGTGCCGACAAAACCGCGCCTGCCATCAACAAACAACATAGTGGGACGCGAAAACAATGTTATAACCCTCGTGGCACGACAAAACCGTGGTCCATAAAGCACGCCCGATTAAAGCGCGTACCTGATGTCATCAGCAGCGCGACAAACCCCCCCGGGGAAAAAAAGGGGTGTTTAAAAAAGCGTTTTAAAAGCAAGCCGATTCACGAAAAG